TATTATAACAAAACTCTCCAGGCCTCTATGTGTGTGTGTGTCCTTAATATCTTGTCCCACACCAAGTTTGATGCTCACGGGATGAACTTGGGTGTCTCTGCCACTGAGCTTTGCCTGTCTTCTTTTAAACTACAGACTAACGCAGGTGTTTCCTAGAGTCTTCCTGGGGTGCTGAGACTTCTGGGCCCCACAACTTCTAATTATCTGAGGTGTAAAAGGCAATAGGATGGGAAATGGAGTGGCCTGGAATCTGCAGCCCTGTCAGTATGCAAATCATTTATTTATATGCAAATCATTCCAAGGAAATGGAGCTGGGGATCCCTTGGTCAATCATTTTTGTCTCCTGTGAATGATGCAAATTACTTTCAGTACACACAACCCTCCCTGTTTTGTGGCTGGATTGAAACGGTTTTTAGCACCTAATTATGATGGGTTGACCCATGCTAGACAGTGATGAAGAGGACACTAGACTCAACAATTCTTCTCTCCTAAAAATAGACCCCCAAAAACACTAGCACACATGCGCCATGGGAGCCGGTCAAAAATGTCCAGAGCAGCACTGCTTATAATAGCCCCCAAACTAGAGTCTATCTAGATGTGTATAGAAGAAGCATGAAAAAATAAACTGTGTATGCTTATCCAATGAGCTATTATATAGCCATGAAAACGAGGGAGCTACAGTTACCTGCAGCAACATGGATGAATTCTGAGTCTACATGGCAAGTCCCAGAAAACAATATACGGTATAGTACTTTTTAATAAAGTTCAAAAAACAAAACTAAATACATTAATGTCATTTTAAAAATAAGCTGGGTGCAGCGGCTCACACCTATAATCCCAGTATTTTGGGAGGCAGAGGAGAGAGGACTGCCTGAGCCTGGAGATTCGAGACCAGCCTGGCCAACTTGGAGAGACCTCGTCTCTACAATAAATCAAAAAATTAGCTGAGCGGTGTGTGGTTCACACCTGTAGTTCCAGCTACTTGGAAGGCTGAGGTGGAAGGATTGCCTGAGCCCAGCAGGTCGAGGCTGCGATGGCTGTGAGTGTGCACTTTACTCTAGCCTGGGTGACAGAGTGAGACTCTGACTCCAAAAAAAAAAAAAAAAAAATAGCCCAGGGAAATGTTAATCTATAATAATCAGAATAGTAGTTCTGTGTGAAAGGGTGACAAAAAGATGGGCTAGAAAAGGAGCACACGGGGGAGGTGTGGGAGTTGGAAATGTTCTAGGGCAGGCATGTCCAACCCACGGCCCCTGGACACATGCGGCCTAGGACAGCTAAAATCTTTTTTCTTTTTTTTTTTGAGTTGGAGTCTCACTCTGTCGTTCAGAGTGGAGTGCAGTGGCCACTCCCGGCCACGGCAGCCTCGACCTGCTGGGCTCCGGCGATCCTTCCGCCTCAGCCTTCCAAGTAGCTGGAACTATAGGCACACGCCACTATGCCTGGGTAATTTTTTTGATTTATTGTAGAGATGAGGTCTCGCCAAATTGCCCAGGCGGATCTCGAACCTGCGGGCTCAGGCAATTCACTCACCTCGGCCTCCCAAAGTGCAGGATTACAGGCTGAGAAAATCTTTTAACATCATATGTTTTTCAGCATTTATTTTCTTCGTGACCCCATGCTTAGTTCCATTTTTGAAGTTCATGATCACACCTTATTTGTGAGATTGTTTTTTGGGCAGCACATACATTTGAGCAGCTGTTTTCAATTATGAAGCGCAAAATTCCAACAAACATTTCTGACGAGCACCTTGAGAACTCACTAAGAATTGCAACCATTTCCATTGAAACAGGCATGGATAGATTCGTTTTACAAAAACAAGGTCCAATTTCCCACTAGTTTTATACTGTTCTCATTTTTCTAAACTTTATAATAAAAATATAAAAAATAAGTCTTATTATGTATATACACTAACTATATTATGTAATTTATGTGTGACTCAAGACAATTCCTCTTTACTCGGTGCAACCCAGGGAAGCCAAAAGGTTAGTCAATGCAACCCAGGGAAGCCAAAAATTTGGACATTCCTGTTCTAGATCTTGGGTTAGGTGGTCAGTTCACGAGTGTTATTGTATTATGAACAAATACATAAATAAGGACCATACTTGGGCTAATGTTGATAGTGTGTCATGGCCAAGAATTATAATTAATTCAATTCTGATCATTCAATACCTTAAATGGAGGGGGGGAGGGAAGGGGGGGGGAGGGAGAGAGAGAGAGAGAGAGAGAGAGAGAGAGAGAGAGAGAGAGAGAGCTCATGTTCAAAACAGAAGACACAGACTTTTTATAACCTAATCTTGGAAGGGACATCCTATCACTTCTACTCTATTCTATTCATGAGAAGCAGGTCAGTAAGTCCAGCTGACCCTTAAAGGAAAAAGGTTACACAAGAGTGTAAATACCAGGAGTCAGGGACCACTGGGTATCATTTAGAATCTGCTAACCTCAATCTAGAGTTTTAATAGCCAGGCTATCTTGGCTTCTCCCAAAATGGCAAGCTGTTTCCTCTGTTATCCGGGGGGCTGGAAAATTTGGAGACCTACAGGAACACTGCGGGTCTTGATGTGGCAACTTCTTTGTGCCTGAGACACAGTCTCATTTGGAAAGGCCATTGGTGAACCTATCTGGAGCCCCCCTGGGGAAGGAGGAGTTGGTTTCCCAAATTGTGGCCACTGCTCCCTCCCACCTTGTCCTTGAAGCCGCTGTGATGTTTCCCAGCAAAGAGAGGAAGCAGTGGGCACCCCATCACCTTGTCAGTCAGGTTGGGCTGGGATCAGGTAGAGAAACTGCCAGCATGAAAGTCTTCTTCGAACTCCTCTTTGCTTCTTTCCTCAAAATTTCTCTTCTTGCTCCCCACCGTGTCCATAACCCTCACCATTGCTCACAGAATAAGTGCTCCAGGAGCTTGTGGATAGAGGCAAGAAGGAAAGACAGGAAAGCCAGCAAGTGTCAACAGGTCAGTGCCGCCACTTGGGGAAGTTGATTTCACTTTCACTATTCTCAGCATCTATTCTGTGCTGGGGCAGGACATCCAGAGATACTTGCAGCTACAGATACTTGTCCTCCAGGGGGCTCACAGTTTTAGGAGGGAGACAGACAGACAATGATGGAGCATCAGAAGAAGTACAATAGCTACTTGATCAATACACCCTTTTTTGCCAGTCCATCACGCCTATCTGGTTCACCAAGCATTGTCTTTCGCTTGGGCTGCTACAGGAGCTTCCCCAAGCTGGATTCCTCCATCGTCCACCCTTCCATCCACTCTGCTGCTGAAGGATCTTTTGGGAATGCAAATCTGACAAGGCCAATATCCCAGTGAAAAGCCTCCCCAGCTGATCTTGCCGAAAGGCCAAGCTCTTTAGATGGTCTCCAAGACCCCATCCCTCCAGCTTCATCTTGCCCCCTCCGCTCGCCCCACAGGCTCTGGGCTGCTGTAGGTACCTACCTAGGTGACCGAGCTGTGCCCCTACTTCCAGCAGCTAATTCACGCAGCCACATTCATGAGGAAACATTCCCGGGTTGCTCTTCCCAGTCTGGGAAATTAGCCCCATAGCCTCTCTCAAAACATGTCCCTCACGGGGTTGGATTATCCTGAGCTGTCTTTTGTGTCCCTGATGAAATGGGCACTCTGCCTGTAGACTCTTTGCATGGTGTCTGGCACAGAGAGGATTGAACCAGAGAGGGCGGACTGTGGAAGGAGCCTGAAGTCAGTTCCGGGAGCCTAGGCGAGGGCGCCCAGACCAGGAACTTTCTATTTCCCCAAGGAAGCGCCGATGCCAGGGGCACCCTCTCCGCCTCTGCCCTGGCCGCGCCCTCTTCCCTATGGCTCAGGCTCGGCGGGCCGCTGCCTGCGGTCGCGGCCAGGAGCCCGCAGAGCTGAGCGACCGACTCCCCGCGCCTCGAGTGGGCGGGGGAGGCTCCGTGAAGCAGGTGCGGTATGAAATTGGACTTTAGGAGACGAGTTGGAGCCTGGTATCCAAAATGAAGTGTGGCCATGTGTGTGGCTGAGGAAGAGGGCTGTTCAAGCATTCCCTTCCCCCAGCTTCTGTTTTCCACGTGCGTTGAGTAAAAGCACCCAAGCTGTGTAGCGACTGTGGGTGTCTCCTCCCCCTGCGGGGCGCCCACCCGGGCGCTCCAGGCGCGCTTGAATGAACCGGGAGGGCCCGCGCGCATGAATGAGCGAGAGAGAGGGAGTGCGCGGGCGAGCGGGCGGCTGAGCGAATGGCGACCGCGCCGCGCCTCGGCACAGGGGCGCGGGCGCGGGCTCCACTTCCCTCTCCCGCCAGCTGGTGGCCTCGAGAAGGTGGTGGCGCCGGCAGCGGCCCGAGCTGGGACGGCCGGGGCGCGGGATGGTGGGGGAAGGGGCGTTCCCGGCGACCGCGCCTTCCGCGGCTATTGGATTAGTGGCCTCCGGGGATGAGCTCAGCCAGATCGGCTTTCAGCTGCAGCCCCCGGGCCGGCCGGGAAGGCGGGGAACGGGCGGCGGCTCTATGGGAGGGGGCAGCGGCGGCGGCTGACGCATCCATAGCGGGCCGTGCTGAATGTGAATGGACGAGACCCACCACTGACAACACCTAGAAAGGCAAAATGGATAAATATAATGAGGCAACAATATATTGTTTCCAGGAGACTCATCAAACTAGAAAGGACACTTATAGACTCAAAGTAAGATAATGGGAAACAAAATTTCAGGCAAATGGAACACAAAAGAAAGCTGGAGTTGCGATCTTAATATCAGACAAAATACTCTTTATGTTATCAAAAAATAAAAAACGATACAGAAGATCACTACCTAATGATAAAAAGGTTCAATCCATCAACTAGAAATATCCATCCTAAACATATTGCTCACAACATTTGGAGCACCAACTTTCATAAAGCAGTTTCTAGGCAAACTTTAAAAATGATATTGACTCTAACACTATCTTAGCTGGGAACTTTAATACCCTACTCACAGCCCTAGACAGATCATCAG